TGATATTCCATAGGAGCATTTTCAGATGCCAGCCAGATCGAGCCCAGGAACAGTGGACTGCACAAGTGTATGTGGGGGAGGAGGTTACAGTACTCCTATTACACAAGCGTATTCAGTGGTTTACTACAGACAAAATCTAGTGCGTTAGTGACATGTAACACAGTTACAGAACAAACATATGAAATAAGTTATTTCTTGTCCACAAAGCAAGCAACATTAGCTTGGGCAACTAGCTGTCCGAGAATGAATGAAATTTGGTTTGGTTCTGCAATTATGAACAATCAGTTATCCAGCTGCATGCTAGGGTGATCATCAGCATGGTAAGAGAAGAGGGAGAAACTGATGCTAGTAGTATTGTTAGGGTTGCATCCATCACACCATGTCCGAAAATGAAAACAAGGTTACTATCACATCTAAAAATATGCCAATGTATTTATGGGACCTGACTGCTGGTCTGGTTGAACAACAGATACAGATGATGCATATCTAATTAAACAACCACCAAGCAAACTTCTCTGGAGCACTAAACATGTAGCCAGTGCTGAAGTACATGGGATGTTAAAAGACAAGATCATACAACTTTCACAGCATGTTTGTTTGCCTCCATTAGTGATTGTCAGGAAGAAGAAAGGCATGCCCAGGCTTTGCATTGATATTAAAAGGGTGAACATGGTAACTCACATTTATGTTTGCATTACCATATGTTGGTTCAAAATATAGCACTCAATAGAGTATATTTGTGCATAAAACACATAAATTTGGATAAGGATGTACAAAACCAAATATACTTGCATGCTATGAATATAGAAATATTTGACCTTTTTTAATATATTTTCAATAGGGGACTAGTTCAACATGTAAAAATGATGTATTATAATTGCACATGAAAAATAATAAAAATTTTCACATTGTATTTGGCTCCAGTTATCTACTACATGTTGTTCTTAAATTATATTCACTTGTATATATATACAGAAAAAGGATGTTTCTTTCCATCAAACACATAATTCTGCTTCAAGTAACTGCTTCTGGCCTCAAGGGTGAAGAATTTCAAGGATGCATATGAACCCTAGGCAAGATCATTTGTCACTGAAATTAACAGCGTGATTAATCTACAATATCATGTAAGATTGAAAGAAAAATATAAAATTGAGTTAATCTCATATGTACTAAACTTACTACAGTAGTTCTTAGTATTCTTTAGTAAATGATGGTAGAGTAAAAAATTAATTATGTTAAATATAAATTGCATGAATATTTGTATTAATTCTATCAATATTGTGAGCTCTATCCATGATGTTATGAAAATAAGTCTGTTCAAAAATTTAAAAAACATACAACCTGAGTACTCAAAAAACTAAAATTTTCTTCATCAGGAGAATTAAAGGAAATTATCAAAACTCCCAAGTTTATGTGGAGTATCTCAGTTTTTGTAAGTATGTTAAAGGTAAGCTGAATGTTAAAATGAAGAATAGGCCCTTAATAAATGATGATGACAAAGTTTTAAATGGATAAGCATTTAAATGCCTTTTTTTTCTCCTAATTTGACAAGATTCCACTTGGAATATGATATGCAGTTTTGATCTCCTTATCAAAGAGGATATTGACTTATTGCAGAGGGCTGAAAAGAGAGCTGGTATGATGATTACAGGGATGGAAGGGCTTTTTTATAGGAATAGATTAAGATATATTTTATTTTGAGAAATGAAAAGGTAAGAGAAGATTTTATTTAAGCTTACAAGTAGAGCTGGGTGATTAGGGCAATTTGATAATCAATTAATCATCAGGTTCATTAATCATTTATTCTCACTAATTTCTATTTGTTGATTATTTTGGTAAGTCATGACATTAACCAATTAAGCTGAATAACCTAGAGTTAACAATAACAAAAAAAAGAGAAATCATAATAGCAATTACTTGGATAGTTGGAATAACCAAACATAACAATAATCTCTCTACATAAAAGGTAACTGCATGTTTGCCTGTCCACTAGCTCCTTTCACACTATTTGACCAATCACCACCAAACTTGGCATGATCACTCCTACAGTCCCCAGAAATAACATGAAGGGGAAAATTCGCACCAGGTTTCCCACAAAAACTAATTTTTGGCTTTTCATTCAGTTTCTGTCTTCATGTCACATTGCTTTTGGTAATACTCAACACTATACATCATCACTTGGCAACAAACCTATCAAGAAATTTTTGTTTATGTTCAACGTGTAATTTACACATTAATTTGTGGTATGTGTTTATTTCCTCTGTTTTTAATAACTTCAGTAAAAGCAAATGACTCAATTCAGAATGTTAATGTTGGAATGTTTCCAATCAATCCATCAAACAACTACATTACTATTCCAGACAAATGTGGTAACTTAGTTAAGGATGCAGAAGAGCTAAAGGAAAAGGTGTTCCCTAATATTTCTCAAAATTATTAATGGTTGTGTAAAAGAGCAATTCTTGCACCTTGAAATGATGCTGTTTATGACATAAATGATCATTTTTTATAAAAGGTTCCTGGACAGGAATTCACCTGCAGATCAATTGTCAATGTTCCAGTTACAGTTGATGCTCTAAATTACCCAACTGATTTCAAAGGTTTAAATAAACATTAAAATGTTATCTAGAATAATAAAATAAAGTTGTTTTTATTTCTTTGGAATAGGCACAAGATCAAAGTTTAAAAGTTGCTGGATTGTTCCTAAAGCAGCCTTGCTTTCACATGTCAATTCTATGTAGGATGTTTAAGTATTGGATCTCATCAAAACCTGTTTATATTGTCAGAAAGAGCAATAGCCAATGTGGTATATCAAGAAGCTTTAATTTAGGTCTTAATTTTGGTTTTGAAAAGTAAAGGTTTATATAAACATTAAAATGGTACATAAATTGAATTTTTTAAGTAAATGTTCTTAAACATAATATCATTGTGTTTTTAAATACCTATTTCAAGTAATTTGGACACCTGTGCAGGGAATGGGTAATTCGACTAGTCATTAATAATACTTTTCATTAGTTGATTACTTGCTGTGACACTAATCAATGTCATCAATACTCATAGGTAATTATACTGATTAATCAGGTTAATTGCTTGGCTCTGGTTATAAGATTTTTCAAGAACCAACAGCAGAAAACCACTGACTTTTGATTCTATATCTGAAGATAACAAGACAAGAATACAGTTTAAAATTTGGAAAAAGACAGGCTAGTCTCAGGTTAAGAAGTTTTATTTTTCTAAGAGAGTGACTAGCTTATGGAACAAATTGCCATCCACAGAAGTGAAAGACAACATTTAAAAGGAGTCTAAGAGGGGTAGTAATTGGTGAATTCCAGAAAAATAAAGGGTGGGTTTAAATATTTATTTTTTTTCCAAAAGTAGGTATACAAGGACAGTCTTGAAGGACTAAATGATCCCATGTTGTCCATATGTTATGTTACACTAATTAATGTAAATCCTAGTGAAAAAAATATTTCTGCAGAAAACTATAGCCTATGATTCATCGTGTTCCTCTCACAGAGTTCTACTATGTTTAATTTAATTCGTCAATAAACTTCTACCTAAAATCCTAAGATATGTCTGAAGAACAAGGCCATAAAACTCTTGTACCCAGTTATATGACTGTCATGAAGATAAACTTTTTTACAACATCTACAAGACAGTAATTTACACAAGTTTCTCATGCAACAGTACTGTTTTATGTAGGCTTTTTTGAGAAAAGTATTTAAACCATAGTATTACATTTAACCATTTAAAAGAAAGTACACACACAATTGTTGTACATGTTGCCCCTTCTGTTTCTAATGTTTAGCATTTGATGTTCTGGTTGATTTAGTTTCTTAAACCATCCATGCAGTGTGCTGTTACTAGTGGCAGGGCAAATAGGATTTTAGGTTGTATCTACAGCAATACTGAACATAAGTCTAAAGAGATTATAATTTTATTGTATTGGTCACTGATTGGGCCACATTTGGACTACTGTATTCAGTCTTTGGCTCAGTACCTTAGAAAAGACACTGAATTGTTGAAAAAGGTTTAGAGAAGAGCCATGGCACTAGGATGATACCTAGGATGGGAAAATTGTCATGAGGCCAGGTTAATATATCAGAAATTTTTTCTCTTGAAAAACAGTTAGATGGGATCTAACTGAGTTGTTTAAGATTGTTAAAGAAATAGTGTTGATGTATCATCCTTTTTCTTACTTAATGGAGAGAATGGTAGGAATAGGGGGAAAGAAATACAGATTTTGACAGGGTAGAAGTCATCTTCAGCTAAGTAAGCTTTATTTTTCTAATACACTAAGGTTGTTTGGCCCTTGGATTGGGTTACTTTCAATATACATAATTTAATGGAAGGCTTGACAATATTTGAATGATAAAGGCTGGCTTTGAGAGTTTTCTTTCTTTTTATGTTTAATGGATGGAATGGCCTAGATGGAAACACAGCTTGTCCTTAAATTATGCTTATTCTTAACTCTAAGTATTCACGTACATGCCCAATGACAATGTTAAAATTAAATCATGTGTATTTTTTCACAAAACTATTAATAAATATGAATAAAGCGCAGCTAAATATTAAACTTCTAAAAATTAAAATAACCCTTCGTCTAGTAGTAAGTAGTAGTACTAGTTAGTATCAGTTACAATAACAAAAGAAATCAAAATGCGTGTGGCATCTTTATTACGTTATAGTTATACCTACCTTACGCCGAGTCACGGTAATAACAAAACGCTTATAATTTACTTTTCAACAATTTATTTAACTCAATAAGCATGTCAATACACACTAAATAACACAACACACTAGAGAAGTAGAACAGTACTATAGTATATATATATATATATATACTAAATATGTAAAATTAGTAATACTACACTAGTCTAGTTTGAATACGTGGCTTTTCTTTTATTAGTTTGCGCTCTGTGATAGATCATATGCATTTAGTTATTAAACAATCTAAATTACACTTTAATGTTTAAGTTATATTATAATTTAACCTCTCTTACAATTATCAACAGTCCCAGACTCCCACTACACTTTGAATTTAGAACATCATTTTGGAAACTCTGCTATGCATCTCATGACAGTATTGTATTTTTCATGTTCCCGCTAAAACAAGCTCCTTCCACCTAACAAACGTGTAACTGTTATTGTTAAGATATATGTGAAAACGATAAATAAAGATATACACATTTTCAATTGCATTACAAAAAAAAATAACTTTCACGGTGATTAAAAATCAACATGAGAAATACAAAATCCTTATTTAGATCGTTTTTAGGAAACTCATAGAAACTCGAGGTATTTGATAAAATACTTAGTGTCTATTTGAAAACTGCTTGGTATTTTAAAAGTTCATATGATAAGAGGGGAAACATTTTAGGAAGAATGATCTTTGCATAATTAGGTTTCAGGTTTTGCTACATGTTACTATCCCCATTGGGATAGCGGTAAGTTTACGGAATTACAACGTTAAAATCCAGTGTTCAATAGTTCAATTTGCTATACTCTAATAACAAACAAACAAAAGCTACATGTTGAGACAATAAGGAAATTTATAGCCTAATTTCAAGAAAGCCAATTCTGAGGTCATGAGACAAGATTTATCATTAGTGAACTGTGATAAAACGTTTCAAGATGAGGTAGTACATATTTCGGAAATTTTAAAAATGAGATTGTTGTAATACAAGATGGACATCTTCCTAAACAAAAGTTGATTTTTAAAATAGTTCAGCAGTTTAGTTTAGTGGATGGGACATTCTAGATGGACCAACAGATCCCTTGTTATGATAATAAAGAGAATAAATAGAACCCTAAATTAAGAAATTCTTGTCAAGCTTCAAAATTGAACTGAAAAAGTTTAAGAAACTTTAAAACCGAAAATATTTTATTCTGCTCCTCTCTATTAAAATTCTATACGCTAGGAACAACAAGTGTCGGCGAAGATTATTTGTTTCAGAATTTCGGCGCATAGTCGTCCATAATAAAAGGTGATAATAAAGATCACTTTAGTTTGATACAGTGTTTAGTGCTGGATTACCCAATAGGCAGACTAAGCACGTGCTTAAGGCACCATCAAAGCAGGAGGACAAAAAAAAAGAGATTTTTTTAATAATTTTATATTTCAAAGAAAGCATGGAAGTAGTTATCATGGGAATAATCGCCCTCCCCTCCCAGTGGCACAGAGGTATGTCTGCGGACTTACAACGCTAGAAACCGGGTTTCGATACCCGTGGTGAGAAGAGCACAGATAGCCCATTGTGTAGCTTTGTGCTTAACTTCAAACAAACAAACATGGGAATAATCAAAACTTTGTAAGACTTCCTTACACTCGCTACACAGTCTTCTCCAAATTTTCTGTTCTCTTTTTGTTACTTATCCTCACTTAAACCAGGTTTGCATTGATCAATATAAAATTTATGAAGTTGTATGTGTGTTTTCAATGTACTTTGTGTACAATTCTATAATTTAGCACCACTTTTGTCAGTGGAATTATGTCACTCATGTATGTGGGAGCATGGAATTAGTGAAAGTAATAGATATCATGCATGTATGTTAAAAATGGTGTAGGTTGTTTAATTTGTTTTTGTTTTTATTTCAGATCACTGGGATACGATATAGGATGAAAGTATCCAACTGTGTGGAGCACAGAAACGTAAATTAGCGGAAGAAAAGAAACAAAAAGGTAGTAAAATTATCCATTTTTAAAGCGAATCCATTGGAAGCAATATCTTCTCTACTTACTACGCTATAATTGATGCACTTAAAGCTCATATGAAGAAGAGAGGTGAAGTGTAAAAAGAAGAAGAATTGGTCCAATACATAGCAGATGATGTTTAACTATCCAAAACGTGAGGTGATGCATGTAGGTTTTCACAATTCAAATTATTGTTACAATTTAAATGGGAATACATTAAATGCTTTTGAAGAAAAAGATCTTCGTGATGTGATGGAAAATTCACCTAAGTCATCTAAACAGTCTATTGTAGCTAGCATGGGATATTGGGTAGCACCTACTGAAATACTGAATACAAGACAAGGGATATTACTGTTTCACTGTATAGATCACTTATAAAACCTCATTTAGAGTATTGTGTACAGTTTTGGGCCCCCCTTCTTAAGGACGGGCATTGAATTATTGGAGAAAGTCCATTTCTAGAAGACCTAATTGATAGACCTATAAATAGCTGCCACCAGACGAGCGGAAACAGAGAGAGAGAAAAAAGTAAAATCACTGGAAAGAGAAGTTCAGTGAGGGAAAAGCTAGAAAACACAAAGTTACCTATAGTAGGAGTGAAAAGCCTAACAGTTGATATGTTAGAGTGGGATCAATAGTTTGAAAGAGATAAGGAAAATAATTTGTCTTTCCAAAGGGTGTGTTACGACAGTGGAAGTCACGTGACGCTAGTAACACGGCATGAGATTCTGGAAGGATCATGTCTGTTCGTGGCATCTCTAGTCTTTTCTACACGTCCTATATTTTTGTGTATATATAAGCCGGCAAATGAAGTGACGGCATAAGGATAATTGCAAACAGGTAGAGATAGAGACGGATAATTAAGTCAAGCGCAGTGGTGACCGTAAGTAAAGTGCGTGAATCGTTGTGAATTGTCGCGTGTGTTGAAGTGAAAGTGACTGTGGAAATTGAGTGTATTGCAAAGTTGTATTGAGGACGAATAAACTAGTTTTATTTAAGAAAGGACTTGTATCGCTGAAGTTTCTTCGGAAACAATTTCTACGGAAAAATTAACAAATTGGTGTCAGAGAGTGGGGCGGAAAAGAAAAAAAATGGAAACGAGAAATAGCAAATCAAACTACGACTTAGCAGATTTGATGGCAGCAATACAAGAACAGCAAAAGAAACAATAAGAACGAGAAAATAAACAAGAAAGAGACTACAGCAGTGGTTGGAGGAAAAAGAAAAGAAACAAGAAGAGAGACAACAGCAGTGGCAAGAAAACCTCCAACAGTGGCAGCTCGAACAGCAAAAGAAACAAGAAGAGAGGCTACAGCTGTGATTGGAGGAGAAAGAAAATAAAAAAAAGAGAGATTACAGCAGTGGTAACTGGAACAAGAAAGGAAACAGGAAGAAAGTCTCCAACAGTTACAGGAAAGTCAGCAGC